TATAGAAGTTTCCATAGCCCTTGGTAAGGGAAATTTCATGCTAAATCATAAACAACCTTTTTAGCTTACTTAACATATAAGACCTAACATGAGTATAGATGGAGTAATCCTGAAGCCTAACTGGATATTTCTTTGTGATTGGAATGTGAACCTATCTTAATATTAATGGGCAGATGCCTTAGACTCGATTGAGAATATTTGTCTCTCTTCCCCTTTCTATCTCTCACATAATAAAGAGAGTAGAGAGAGAAATGGAGATAGTGACCCCTGGCAAATGCTTCAACACTCGGGTGGATTATGCAAGTGCATATTCAAAGTAATATCAGATTTAATTTTGAGTCCGGATTGTCAATTCCATAGAAAAACGGAGATATGGAGATAGTGACTACTGACAAATGCTTCAACACTTATGCGGATTATGCAAGTGCACTTTCAAAGTAATTTAGATTTATTTATTTATTTATTTTATTCTTTTTTTATAACATCTTATGGTGTCGTATTCTCCCACTATCAGCTCTGCTAGGGTTTCGACTCATGGCGAATCCTAGCAACTATTATGGCTTTTTGCATCAGATCCTTGCCGCGTCTTCTCCGGCGTCTTCTTCACCTCATTGCGTCTTCTCCGTCGTCTTCGACTTGCGTCGTTACTGTGCTTCGTTCTGCGTCTCGCTGTTTTGATTTCAACGTCGACAGCTTTACACATTTTGCCTTTTCTTTTTTGAAGCCGACAGCTGTATCACATTCGCCTCTCCTTGCATCCGTGTTTTTTAGGGCTTTGCAGTAGGAGGCGCCGAAAGCTTCACTTTCTTTCACACATCGGATCTTCTAGCAGATTTTTGCTCTGATGGCGCTCCTGAACATGAGAAAGCCTCCTCTGCCCACGAGGCGGGTAATCCTTAGGTGGAGTCGGCGGTTGTCTTCCTCTCAAGCTATAAGGATTGTCTTGATGGTACAGTTGATTGCTATTTTCTTATGAAGGCAAGTAGAAAAGGTGGGAAAACATTAATCTTTTTCTCTGACTTGAAACTTTCAAACCTAACTTAGAAATTCAAGTTTGCTTTTATTAAAAAATTTCATTGAAGACACCCACCTATGGAAGTTATCAAAAAGAGTGTTGATGATCTCAAACTAGTAGTTAAGTGGAACGTGAGACTCATGGATGAGAGACATGTGTTTATTTAATTAACCATGGATGAAGACTATACACAGATTTTCTCCAAAAAATATCTTAATATTGCAGGTAAGTCAATGAAGTTACTCGTGCGGTCTCCTGATTTTGACCCAAATTATGAAACTTCCATTGTACCGGTATGGTTTAGTCTACCTGGTCTCAAGCTACACTTTTTAATCATCAGATTTTGTATTCTATTGGTGCCATACTTGGGGACCCTATAAAGCTGGATCTACCCACTTTCAATCTAACTAGACATTGTGTCCAGAATACTTATGCAAGGGAATATTACTTTCCCACAAGTGAATAAGAAAGGGTCTAACCCACCGCTCATAATGAATATTGATAACAAATCTTCATGGAACACAAACCTCCTTATTATACCCATTGTAAGATGTTTGGACATACCCTTGATAAATGCCACAAGCTCCATCCTAATTTGAAACCTAAAATTCAAGTGAATAAGAAAGGGTCTAACCCCTTTGCTCTGGACATATCTGCTCCACCTGGGGAGTAAACTGCCACATGACAGGATTTGGTGGCTGACCTAATTGCTTCTGTGGACCCCCCTTGACAATAATGTTACTGTTTCTTCTTTTTATGTGATGCTGGATGGCTCTACTGGATAACCTACACCTTCAAACCTTATTGAAACCAATATTGAAGGATGCTTACCTACAAAGGATAGTGTTCGGACTGATAATCAGGAAAACCTTGCAGCTTTCTATCTTCAGGAAGCATCCGGTGTAGATGCGACAACTCATACTTAACATATACTAAAAACTGTTGTGGGTGCAAAAATTGACAATCCTTCTGTTACAGCTCTAGCACCTCATCTGAATGATCAATCTTCGGATGTGAAATGACAGGTTTAGACTTCCAGGAGGAAGAAGAAAAATGGAGATATACTTGAGCTAAGCTAACGAATCTAATGGATGATACTTTGGTTACTTCTAGTAATGGGACGCACCTCACCAACTTGTTAGTTTTCTCCCTTCCGACAATTAGAGGCAGAGTCAGGACTAAATTGGGTCGTCCCTAACTACTTCCGTGTCATGGTGGTTCGGGTTTTTTTTATTTTATATGTACTATTTTTTTGAGTTTTTTTTGTGTTGTACTGTGTTGGTTGGGTGCATACTTTTGGACCTACTCATACATCCTCTGTAACCTTTTCTCTTTAATATATTATCCCTTGTTTTTTTTTTTAATAGTGCACCCCAATTGCCTGAATGCACTTCAAACAAACCTGATGATAGCCAACATGAGGAGGGAATCACCACAAGACAAGAGTTGGTGTCTGCCCCTGAGAACCCTTCTCCCGACCATACTACAACGGATAATGTTTGGACAGAAAATCAGGATAGCCTCGCAGCTCTTATTCAGGAAGCATCAGGTGCAAATGTGACAATTCACAATTCACAATTCACATACACTGGAACCAATCGCTGATGCAACGACTGTTTTTTCTTCTACTGCGATTCTAATATCTAATCAAACTGAGGATCACATGAGTCAATCTTCTGATGAAGAATGACAGGTTTACGCTTCTCGACGAAAGAAGAAAGCTTGGGCACACTCTAATTTGGAAACTTAATGGATGATACTTTGGTTACTCCTGCCAATGACGCAACACTTCAAAGTTTGTTATCTGGTTTCGTTCCTAAAACTAGAGGAAGAGACAGGACTAAACTGGCTCGTCCCTAACTACTTGTTTTCTGCAAATTTTAATTTTTTGAGTCTATCTGTATTTTTTTAGTTGGCGTATTACTGTACTTGGTATCGTATGGGTAGGGTGCCTCTATTGGGCTCTCTCATACAACCTTTATGTATCTTCTCTATTTCAATAAAATCAGACCTTGGGCTTTTTCAACACACACACACACACACACACATACATACATATAAGGAAAAGAACTGTTCTTTATTTACAAACTTACTAAATATATTTATACTAAATTAGTAAATGAAAAAAATATGAAAAAAATGAAGACAATAAAACTAAACAAGGGGTTTCCAAAGTGGTCTCCAATCAAATCCTCTTTAATTTCTTTGGCAACCGACCGGTCCACCATAGCAATGAGCCGAACTACTCCGTTTTCTACAATACTCAACAATGAGACGAAACATGCTTTATGTTATAAGATCATTAAGGAATATAGCCCGTTCCATCTAATCAAATCATTCTTCATGGATCGTCATTGAACTCATCACTATCAAAGTACTTTTATTATACTAGGGAATCCAATTAATTATGTTTTACAATCTGAGATTTATCATAAATTTATAACCTTCGAATGTTTTTTAATCATATGTAAGGCTTAACAAATCAAACTAACAGATTACCAAAAATAATGCCAAAGTTGTATTGAGGAAATTGTGTTGATCATTACTAAAACAATCTTGACCTTCGGATCTCTTGTTTGTGAACTTGATCTTCCTCCCCCTAAGTTATCTTGGATGCAAATCCTTTTATAACTAATCATATTTATGGGTGATTACTCTAAATAGTTGATATGATAATTGTCTATAAAATATGTCAAATAACTGATTGTGAACTTTTAATTATATAACTAACCTAAAAGTTAGTGATAGAACAATTAGTCATGTTTCACCCTCATCCTGAACATAGGTTTGATAGATGACCTGCAGTTGGGAATGGAAATGGAAAACAATCAAATATGATTGCTTAGGGTGATAGCTGGAAACATCTGTAGGACTCCCCAACTATCATTGCTTCTATAATTCTCGAGGCGCTCACGAAGACTAGCCTACATCCATTCTGGGAGCAGCGGGATGCTAGCCGAATCTCCATTTCTATCCATTCTTTTTGATTGGCATCCTCCCCCTCCCAGGTGGATTAACGTGAACGTTCACAGGGATCTTCTACCCTTTGGACTTGCGGCCATAGGAGCCATTCTTTGTGATGAGCTAGGCATTTGTATCATTGCAACTGGACAGCATTTCCAACACTGGGATAGCGCGCAAGTTGAGCTACAAGCCATCCGATCACTCCGGCATGCTTGTCTACCATGGATGTTTGAATGTAAAGGTCTCATTATACAATGTGACAAAGCTAATGCAATGCATTTTTTGTGATCAAACATGAAGAAGTAGCTTTGGCATAACAAAAAACAACATGCACAAGAATTCGGGTTTCTCACCTCGTTTAAACAAGTCATTTTTTGTCAAATTACTAGACATTGTGATAGGGCCGCTGATTTTTTTGCCATGTGTACCCTTTGCAGTTATTTTGTTTTGATGCATGTAGATGACAATAGAGAACTTTCTACTATACTTGTAAATGGGAAGTTTTTTTTTGTACACCATAGATGCATATATGCATATTTTTGTGTTTTTTTGATATATTAATGGAACTGCATATTTAACGAAAACATTAGACTTCAATGTAGTAATGGGAGCCAGTACATCGGTTATTTAACCATCCATTAATGTCTTTGCATTAGTCTAGCGAACTAAACGAATCTAGAATCATTTTTGAGAAACTGGAAAAATGATAACTAGAGAAATCTAATCATTTGTTGGGCAAGTCCTTCAGGGCCTATATGTAATTTAACCTATAGGTTTCTGGTGCTAAATTAGATTCCTGAATTCCTACTCTTTGCTGAAATGACATCGAGGAACACATCAATTGGTTTCATGACTGACATCAGCTTTTCAGTTCATTTTTTGCAATGAGAACATAATGCTTATTACCAAATGTCTGCTATACTATACTTATTTACCTAACTTTCTAATTATTATGAATGTTGAGCGTGTATAGAAAATTATAGCTTGCTTTCCTTTTGCCTGCTGATAGATTATGTTCCAGGTTTTCTCTTGATGTTGATTTTGATGCACCAAAAGTCAGAATTCCAATGAGGTCCTGCCAATCTTCATCCTGGAGCAGCCAGTTTCTTCTGGATTTTGGTCATTTCACGTTGCATACTAGGGTAACATCTTTTGTCCAAATATTTTAAACTTCGTAAATAATGTTTTTTGGAAATGCTAATTGTTTTGGAAAGAAACTGAATAAAGAGGTTTTGAATTTTTTTGTTTGTTGAGGAATCTGTTGCGATTTCATAAAGGTAGATTGCATTTTGTACCTTTATTAGGCCCTTGGAGTTAATTTGGTCATCCAATTTTTCGATAAGGACGGTCAACTTGTTCCTCTATTTAAAAAGATGTGTTTTGAACCTTCTAATCAGTTCCATAAATCTTGTGTAAAATCGAAGTGGCAGGCAAATACTTGTGGGAACCAATGTGGTCCGTGTTCGTATCTTTTTTTTCTAGCCCAACTTAACTGAAATTCTTGCACAATATAAATGTGACTAATCATGTAAAATCATTTGAATATTATTATGTTTATTTGATATTTTAGAATATTTTAATGGATAGACATTATTTATTTCTGATTATTCTTATTTCTTTTGATTCCCTTACTTTTCTATTATATTTTGTTTTATTTATTTTCCTTTTTTATTATATCCTAAGTTTATTTTTTTCCTTTCTTGTTGATCCTGTAACGGATATAAATACCCCTTTTTGTATCAATAAAATGTATTTTAATTCTTTTCTAACTTGAGTTCAGAGCGATGACCTTAACCTAACTGCTAGTATCTATCTGCAGCCGTTAGGTAGCTGCCGATGCTTCTGCTCCCTATCCATGTTTCTGCTTTGTTTTAGGATCTTGCATCCATGGAGGTTCTTGCAGCCTAATCCTAACTGTGTTACAAAGGAAATCCTCTCTGTACGTCACACAGCTTTTTCAGGATCTCGATCCCGTACTGCTTCTGATTTGCAACCCGCAGGGCGAACCTGCATTGCTTCAGGATTCTGCATCACATTAGGATGTTACACATTCTCGTACTGCTGCAGTAGGGTGCTGCTATGTTTTTTGCTACAGGTTTCCAACGCTGAGGATTTGCCAGACCCTCTACTTCAGAACCTCTGTTCTGGTCACCAAAGGCAACACTCCTCCAAGGAGTCAAAATTTTACGATGTCTCAACAACCTAACATCTCATTTGGCTGAATCAGAGTTATGGCAGACTCCTCCACCACTGAGCCGTCATCAAAAGATGTTCTTGATTCCTCAGGAGGATCAATTCCAACCTCCGTTCCTCAGCAAATCAGAGGACAAGAAAATAACATGAACATCTTGATTATAACTCATAAACTAAACAGTAGTAACTTATTCCAATGGTTTCAATCTGTGTCCTTGTTCATTAAAGGCGTGGGAAATTCGGGCATTTTACTGGTGTGATTTTTGAGTCACCAAATTCTGACCCAGGATATGAAACTTGAGAAGTGGAGAATTCTATGATCATGTCATGGCTGATCAAATTCATGTTTACCAGCTATTGGTTGATCGTATATGTTCATTTCTTTTGCTAGTGCCCTCACGACAGTTGTTCGTGATACTTACTTGGATGTAGGGAACTCCAACTCTATGAGGTGTTCATGAAAATATGTGAAGCAAAACAATGATCCAAGACCGTAACTTAGTATTATAATGACGTAGTCGCATTATGGATGAAATGTGACATATATATGACTACACGTGGGAATCTCTGGCCAATCTATTTTTCTTCCAGAAAATTCTAGAAAAGGATCACATGTTCTAATTTTTGGCAGGACGATGTCCGGGAATGTATTCTTGGTTGGGATACTCTTGCTCCCCTAACTACACTAATAAACAGTGGTTCATTACTTTGATTGATGACCACACTCAAATGACATGAGTCTATATTTTGAAAGATAAATATGAAGTTGTTGCCACTTTCAAAAACTTCCATACTTTCATTTTGACCCAGTTCAATACTCCTATTCAAGTCCACTGGCATTGTTCATGAATTTTTTATCTCTATATTAGGAGAATTCTTGGTAACTAAATGCATCCTCTATCATAGCTTCTGTTTCGATACTCCTCAACAAAATGGGGTATCCGAAAGAAAAAACTGACATCTCATCGACGTTACTTGCTCCATTATGTTTCACTTTAATGTTATTCTTGCCACCACTTATCTCACCAATAAAGTCCCTCAAAATTTCACAACTTCCATACTCCATTTGTTTTGATATCGTGTTTTCCTAATAATCGAGTCTTCTCCAGCTTAGACCCCAAAATTTATGGGTCCACAATTTTTGTTCGGAAGACAACCCCAACTCAGAGTAAACTTGATCCCAGGTTTATGAAATGTGTTTTACTAGGATTCTCAGCCACTTGAAATGGAGATCGATGTCTTGACCCTTCCACAAATAAGGCTTATGTGAGTGTTGACACCTCTTTTTTTGAAACTGTTCCCGACATTCCTAACTTGACCTCCAGTGAAGGGGAGCTAGAGTTCTTGGGCACCGATCCTTACCTTACTCTCATGGGTGTTCCCCCACGTCATCTACCCTTGAGAAACATCGGTTCCTTTGGTTCCACCCACCTTATTTACCACCAAAGAGACCTCTGACCCCTTGGTGCCGCCTGCACACCCTCTCACTCTCCGTGTCTACACTCGACACACTCGTTCTGATGCACCTTACCCCTTGATGGACCCCGAATCCCCTCCGGACGACATCCGAAGCACTCCTCAAAATGAGGAAGTGAGTTCCTCTAGCAAGGTTTGCAATCGTACATGATCTCTTTATCCCGTGGCAAGTTATGTCTCTTTTCGCAGATTATCGCCAACCTACAGAGCATTTGCTATGACCCTGACAAATCATGAACTTCTATCTACTATTGAGGCTGCTTTAGCAGACCAAGCCTGAAAAACTACTGTCATGGAGGAGATGTCTGCCGATAAGGAAACTATACTTGAGAAATTGTTTATCTTTCTTGGGGCAAGAAAGCAGTGGGATGCAGGTGAATTTTTAGCATCAAGTTTAAATTTGATAGATTCTTTGAACGTAATAAGGCATAGTTGGTCTCCAAAGGGTACTCATAAACCCGTGAAGTTGACGACGAGGAGTCACTTACTCCAGTGGCTAAATTAAACAACACTCGGGTTCTCTTATCCCTGACAGTGAATCTGGATTGACCTTTATTCCAGCTTGATGACAAGAATATGTTCCTGAACGGTGATCTTATAGATGAGGTTTATATGACCCTTGCTTTAGGCTTTGGCTCCACTGTCTTCCAGGGGCAAGTATGTAGACTGTGAAAGTCTTATGGATTGAAACAATCACCACAAACATGGTTCGAGAAGAATACAAAGGTGTTGGTAGGCCGTGAATTCACTCAGGCTCAATCAGACCACACACTCTTTTTTCGACATTCCTCCAATATCCAGGCAGCCATTCTTATTGTTTATGTTGATGTTGTTCTCACAGGGAATGATCTACTAGAATTGGAATATCTGAAAGACATTTTTGCTTCCTCTTTTGAGATGGACTTGGGATCTCACTGGTACTTTTTATTCATGGAAGTTGCTCGGTCATCTCAAGGCATGTCTGTCTCAGCTGAAATATGCCATTGACTTTTTGACTGAGAACAATTTTCTTTTGTGCAAAACGGTAGCTAGCCTGATGAATCCAAATGAAAAACTTCTTGATGTTTCTAAGGCTGTTCTTGCAAACAAGACTCGCTACCAATGCCCTGTGGGGAAACTCATATACTCGTGCATGCCCCAACATATGCCACACAGTTGAGATAGTAAATAAATTTGTGCATGACCTTTATGAGCACCTTCTCGAAGCTACCCACTGGGTCTCCATTATTTAAAAGGCACACCAGGCTTAAGTTTGAATTTTTCCCGCCACACCTCTCACAATATTGTTGTTTTCACAGATGCTGATTGGACCAGATTTATCCATGATCAACGATCTACCTCTGGGTACTGCTCATTTGTATGGTGAAACCTGGTCACTTTGAAAAGCAAACAAATCCATGGTTGTCTGGAGCAGTATTGAAGCAGAATTTCAATCCATGCTATTAGAAATTTGTGAGGTTCTTTGGTTACGCATCATGCTCCGAGAACTGCATATGTCAGTCTACGTTCCCTTACAATTGCTTTCTGATAAAATGATAGCCAGTAGCATTGCTCACAATCCAGTATAACATGATCGCTCCATGCACGCTAAGATTGACCGACACTTCATTAAGGAAAACTCGAGTTTGGGAAATTTGCATTTGTTTGTGCCATCTAGTAGCCAATTAGCGGATATCCTCACGAGGAGCCTTCCTCAGCCATTATTCGGTGATCTTAAGTCGATGTTCAACATGACTAACATCTATGCTTCAACTTGAACGAGAGTATTAAAATCTTTTAATGACTATTAATAGCCATTATTTATTTATGATTATTCTAAGTTTTTTTCTTTGATTTCCTTCCTTTTTCTATTATATTCTGTTTTATTTTTTTTCTTTTTCTATTATATCCTGAATTTACTTCTTTTATATATAGTTGATCCTGTAATAGGTATATATACCCCTCTTTGTATCAGTAAGATGTATTCTGGTTCTATTCTAACATGATATGATTGAATACAGTTGGTTGCTTCATGGTCATTACCAGAAAGGGTCAAGAAATATAACTTCTTGGGTTTATGAGACATAATAACCAAGTTTTATCACGATTTTGCCATTTTAATAGTCTGATTATAATGATGAATAGGCACGTTTTTTGTAAATATTCACACAAAATTGGATCAATGGAACCAAGGTCTTAGGTAATGTGAGTATAATAGAATTTCCTTTTTTTTTTAAGCCATATGAAATAGATTGTTTTGACTTTTTTTTTTGCATTATTGGGGTGAATTCTGTTAATGTTGCATCTATTAAAGTTCTTAATTTGTTTCTTTCATCTTTTATTAAAAATTTGCTTTTGCAAATCCCTTGATTGAACATGCCATCAACTTCAAACGCTTTATATTTTGCTCACTATATGTAAGTTCAAGCTGATTAATTTTTGACTGTAGGAAGGTCAACTTGATGACCGGAAGCAAAGTCTGTACTCTCGTTTTTATATATCTGGAAGGGATATGGCTGCTATCTTTATAGATGGCGACTGTAGTGAAAAGTGTTTGGTTACTGCCGCACTTCAGGGTCAGATTTCTCCGCTGGAAACGCCAGATAATGAAAGCCAGTTATATTCTCTCCTTGATCGATGCGGAATGTCAGTCATAGTTGATCGGGTATGGTGGTACTATGCTATTGACACTCAACGCTTAGAAAGCTAAATATATGCTTTATTTCTTTATTATATTTTTTTGTTTATCATATATAAGTTCATACTTTCTCATTGTACATGCTTTACACCTCATTTGCTATGCTGAAGATTAAAATACCCCATCCAAGATACCCTGCTACGAGGATTTCTGTTCAAGTGCCAAATCTTGGAATACATTTTTCTCCTGAAAGATATAGCAGAATTTTGAGATTACTTGATATATTCTATGGCCCGAGTGAATGCGTCAAGGAGATTAGCAGTGGGCATCTCCAAACTGGTTCGGTTCCTTGGCTGCCTGCTGATCTAGCAAGTAATGCTAGAATTTTAGTTTGGAAGGTATACTGATACTTGGCCAATCGCTGACTGCATCATATTACACTTGATTCTCATTCATTTTTCATGTTTTCTAAAGGGTTTTGGTCATTCATTGGCTGAATGGAAGCCATGCTACCTTGTATTATCGGGTCTATATCTGTATGTGCTGGAGACAGAGTATTCTAAGACATATCAGCGATGTTGCAGGTGAATTTGACTTTTTTGCCCTCATAGTTTTCTGAGGTTCCTTACATCTTCATTAACAAGTTCCAGTTAGCTCAATCTCTTTATTTTAGTAATGTCACTTGGGAAACCTTGCAGCATGTCTGGTCGGCAGGTACTTGATGTTTCTCCATCAACTATTGGTGGTTTGCCTTTTGCAATAGCTGTAAGTTCAAGAGGCATTGATATTCAAAAGGTATACATGCCTTCTGATCTTTTGTTGAGCAAATTCATATGCCATGCTTTATTTTGAACGGCAGTTTGAAAATTATTTTGAAGTGCCCGGTTTTCATTAGTCTTTGCATTCAGGTTTGTTTCCACACTGAGTTGCCAAAGGCCATACAACAACAACGTCATCAAGCTTTTATCCCACAAAGTGGGGTCGGCTACATGAATCCCTTTTTTCCATTGTGTCCTATTGGGTGTCATATTTTCATTTAATTCTAATAAATTAAAATCATTTTTTATATAATATACCCAAATTTTTTTAGGTTTACCTCAGCCTTTCTTAACATAAGTTAAATCTCAAACATCACTCTCCTAATTGGATCATTAGATGGTCGACGTTTAATGTTGCCAAGCAATCTAAGACGATTCTCTCGAATCTTGTGTGCCACTGGAGCTACTCCAACCCTTTCAAGGATATACTGGTTTTGCATTTTTCTCTAAGCGTCAAACAACACATCCATCTAAGCATTTTCATCTCAACAACACTTAACTTAGTTTTATGTTTCTCTTTAAAAGGCCAAGATTATGCGCTTATCTCTTAAGTGCCAAATGCAATAATATTTAAAATTAGGAAAATATCATTTGAATGCTGGTTTTGTTCGTTTGCAACTTATTGCTTTGTGTGGCCTTTATTTTGGGGGCACAAAAGTACTACCTTGGGATCTTAGAGCAGTTCATCTAAAATCAATTTCGGACCTAGTAGTGGAGAGAATTGCAATGCAACTGTCATTTGCTTGTTTCTGAGGGCCATTATTTCTGAAATCCATGATATGTCATAGAATTTCGTGCCCCTTGCTCGATGAAAGGTACAAAGAACAACTATAACGAGTTCAATTGAGAATAATTAACACCTGTGTGACTACCTGAATGTGCCAAATGAAATATAGACTTAGCGTCAAGCATAAGATGGTTCGCCCATGTCTTGGTGGCAGCATAATTTGATCTAAGCATAAGATGGTGCACTTATGATCTTTGATATCGCATTGATTTTAAATAAACAATGGTATTGGAAAAATGCTTGTTTTAAGAGATAAAGGAGATGCAATGTTAAGGGAAAAGAAAAAAAAGGCGAATTTCTTCAGTTGTTGATGTTGAATCTCTTAAGCAGGCTTTATTCAATCCGTAATTCACAGAAGGGATGAAGTTATATTGAGTTGCTAGAATTTTTATCCAACTTATCAAAAGTGAACTTTGCATAACATGATAAGGATATTTACAAAGGTTGCCAGACAACCACCAGTTTATAGTTACATCTAAACTATTTTAAGGGGTTATTACAAAATAATCCAGGTGAAAATAAGAAGTTACGTAAACAACATCTATTTCTAAGTTAATTTAAAATATAGGTAATTAAAGTCTTAAGTAATCCTTAATTAAAGTCTTCAGTAATCCAGTTAATTTAGTGATATTGGAGTAAGATTGCTGACTTCAGTTATCATTGTCCTTTCAAACATTTCTTTGTCAAAAACTTCATGCTTTTTGTTTTCATTTTTTTCTCTGATCGATGATTATAAATTCATAACAAAGAGGCTGTGGTTGTACTACTTGCCTTGCTAATACATTTTTAGTTACATTTTCTTTTCATGTCCTTATTTGATAATAGAATAATATTGGTTTTTTTGTAAATTAGTGGTATTGCGACTACTGTTTAATAGTCCACATTTTGCTTTAATATTTCTCCATATTTTCAAAATAATTTAATTTATCTTACAGGCACTAGAATCAGTAAACACATTAATTATAGAATTTAGAGATGGTGATGAGAAGAATACTTGGTTTAAAGAGCTCGTGCAAGCAATATATAGAACTTCGGTATTTTAATCTCATTTTAATTTTGAAAATAACAACATCGTTTATGTTTCTTTTCACTTTCTTTTTTTGTTTTCTTCTTTGACTAGGCTCCACCTACAATGAATATACTCGGAGAGCAAATTAATACCTTGACAGAAACGGCTACACCCCGAAATGGCAGCACAGGGCTGGCTGACCTTGTAATTAATGGTGTTCTTGTTGAAACAAAATTATCAATATATGGAAAAGTATGTTGAATTTAATTCTTTGGGTCCCTATGGTAATTTTTTTTGCAGATGTGTGCAATTCACAGGCTGACTGCATATCTCAGTAAATTGCATTTTTTTTTGTGGTATTTCATTTTGCAGTATGATGGAAATTGTGGAAGTTCAGAAGAATTGATTTTAGAACTTCTTGGCGGTGGAGGAAAGGTATACATATATAGATGTGCGACGTCTATCAAACATTGTTTATTTATAAAATGGTTTTTGCCGACACATTCATAATGTCAAAAATACTATAGATAGATTCATATCTTGCCCTATTTGCTGCACGAAGGTAAAATGCAATATTACTTGTGTGTGAAGCAATGCTAGTTATTTTGGGAAATTAGAAATGAGGAGTTACTCGAGTATGTTTGCACGTTTATCCTATGTTTTTTCATTAAAATATAAATTTAAAAAATAATAAAAAAAATCTTTATTAAACCCTCGGCTTCTTTGATTCTGGAAATTTGGGTCCCATATGTTGTCGTTGCAGCATGAAGTCTCTTGTCCTCATCTTGTGATTAGAAAAAAAATAATAATTTCTAACCTAAGCCGAACCCCCAGTGTTGCACTCCCTTATAGTCCACATGGGTCGCTCTCTGTTATTACCAAAAACCCTCTTCTTCTACTCTGGCCCTCTCATCTCATGCAATACTCCAAAAAGCTTCATCTCCTCACTCTTGTCTTCCTGCCCTTACTTGCGAACCCCCACCATTCAGACAACATCTGGCAACTCCTCCCCAGCTTGTCTCTCCCCTTATTCCATTTTGCATGAAAAGGGGCCCTTATCCTTTCCATTTCTCTTTTGTTCTCTTATGTCCTAGCCTGGTTTGCTCCTTTCCCCTGTGCGTGTTGCAACTGTCGGCCCCCTCAGCCTTTGACAACAGCTGCTACTGCTTTCGACCAGCTCATCTTCTCTCTCGCTGGCAGCCATTATTGCCAACTTTAGCCCATTGATGTTAAGAGATACCATGAATGTCAAATTTGTGGTGATACAATGCCCCGGCTGCCAAATCTGGTACACCAATGATGGCATCATGACCATTTAAATCCTAAAGTGCAAATACAGTTGGACTTTTTAATTCACCAATGTCCTTTCTTGGATCTACGTTTGACATTATCCATTGGAGAATGCACCAGTTACTGAATTCATATATTTCTAGCTTTGGACTTTTAGGTGTATACTTGCTCAATATGAAGTTCCCTACTTAAAAGAAGTATTGAATGTTTAAACTATAAATGTGGTTGTTTACAATGGATATATTAACCTAGCCCTCTATGTTTGGTTGAACTGAGACAATTTAGTTTTGAAGTATCGTATATACTTTACTCAATCTTCGGAATGTTGCTTTGAAAATTGTGCCTGTTTATGTATAGTGCTCTCTATGACTGGTCTAAATTCATGAAACATTTCCTTATTCATAGGCTTTGAATTATATGGGTATTCTTTTCAGCACATAAATTAATTTTAACTTTTCCCTGTAGGTTTATATTATCAGGTCAAGTTGTAACCTAACTATCAAAACCAAGCTTCATTCGCTAAAAATTGTAGATTTGCTTCAAGGTCGGCTTTCCATGCAGCCTCAGTTTTTAGCACGGTCTGTGGTGAAAGAAAAGACTGTTTCCAAGGTAGATGCAGAGGTGCAGAGCATTGTTTTGGAGGAGGATGATTGTTTTATAGACGCATTGTCGGATTTTATGAGCGCTACTGATCAAACGTTCCATAATTCATTATTCAATCCTGATTCTTTTGATCAATACTCTGGATGTAGTTTTGATAGCGGTTTGAATCCCGAGAATGTAAAAGAGAGGAGCAGTGAGGTTTTCTATGAGGCCTGGGACACTAATTTTTCTGATTTTGTGGTTGTTTCATTTGTGTGGAGAAGCCCAGATTCACCTGTATATGATGGTATTGATACACAGGTATTCATTATGAAACACTGTTTACACAAGTCTTGAGTGATGGAAATTATTTATTTCGATAATCCTGCCAATTATTAAGGGTTATAATTATACAGCTTATAAACATTTTTTACAGATGAGGATCCGGATGTCAGCACTGGAGTTCTTCTGCAATAGACCAACTCTTTTTACTTTGATTGGATTTATCTTTGATCTCAGCAACGTGAATTCTGCAGGAGCAATAAATGAAAATAATACAAGTGGTATTGTCGACATTGAGACAAAAGAGGAAGATGGTTGTGCTTTGGTTAAAGGCTTGCTGGGTTATGGAAAAGGACGTGTAGTTTTTAATTTGGTGATGGATGTTGATAGCGTATGTGTTTTTCTAAACAAGGAAGATGGTTTTCAACTTGCAATGTTTGTTCAAGAAAGTTTTATTTTGAACCTAAAGGTTAGTCCAAGTTTAATTGTTTTCTAAATACTTGCAATCTGCAGATGTGCTCTCTCTCTCTCTCTCTCTCTCTCTCTCACCATCTCAACATACTATCTGTTCTTCCTCTCTCTAATGCTTCCTCTTAATTTGCAGCCTCGTTGATGAGAAATGCACAGTATTTAATGTTATATATTAATTACTTAAAAAATAGCTGTGATATAATTCCCTGAAGATATTGTAAAATATTGTTATGGAGTATAGAAAAGTTGAGGTTGTTAAGAAAGAAGAAAAGTTGAGGTTGTTATATTGAAAACCTTCTTAGTTAGATTAATATTCTTTGGGTGTACTGATCGTGAGCAGATATTGCAAAAAGGGGATAAAATTAATATGAAAGGATATTTATTTATTTTTCAACTAACGAAGCTCAACACTAAGTGTAGCTCTTTATCAATAAAAAAAGAATTGAAGCCTCAATACCACTAAGAAAGCTTTAATGAAAGGGGTCAAAGATTGTGGAAGGAAAAACGGTAGGCTAAAAATTTTATAATTAGAGATGGCCCAGAGAATTATAATTTATATTTCCATTTGTTTATGGAAACAAATTGATGAATTATATCTTTCAAGACGGGAAAAGTGTTCAAATGGTTCCTTGACTTTTTGCAGAAGGCCATTTTAGTCTACGAGTCCATAGAAGTGCGAAATCATGCTCAAAATTGTTTAATATGAGTTCAAATATTCTCTAAAGTAGACTATTGTAGCACCCATTAAAATATTCTAGGGACTAATTTGACATTTTCATAAACTCTGACACCAAAATAACCCCCATGTAAATGGTCAAGGGACTATTTTGACTCTTTACTTGTATCATCATAATTAAACTAGCAGTGTAATTTTGCTGATAGCATTGATGATGCTTCACAAAAATATGGTTCTATACTACAATATATTGCAATATGGTACTTTCATGTTCTGAAACCTTTTCAATTATATGTTTTTGTTATAATGGATGGCTGTTCGGATTGCATTATTTTATTATGTGTTTTTTTCTCTCTATTCAGTTTCATCCAAGCTCTACAACTATGGAAGGCACTCTTGGAAACCTGAGGCTTTGTGACATGTCTCTAGGACCAAATCACCGTTGGGGTTGGCTATGTGATATACGTAACCAGGGGATTGAATCTTTAATCAAGGTAATGCAATTGTTTTCTTGTTATTTATTTGTTGTTTTTCCATTTGAAATGAGATTGTCATTTAGGATGTTATAACATCTACATTTTATGTCGACATTGGTGGTTTGGATTAGGATGTAGACCACTGATTTGCATTAATTGAAAGGAAGTTTTTTTTGTTTTTTTTTTGAAAAATCGTAATGCTCGGTGCCAAAAATCCTATTTGACTTTTAAGCATTTTGCAATTTATTTTCTGTGTGGCCATTTGGGATCACTATTAAAACATGTTTGGTCGTGATTGTTATTTGAAACCTTTGAACACAGTTTAATGATGCTTTGAGAATTGTTATAAAAAGTTGATTTATTTTTTAAAATAAAATTGTATAAATATACAAAACTTACACTAAATAAATACGTTTCTAAAAATAAGGGGGGAAAAAACTTGATCCCAAACTTTCCCTTTGTTTTATCATTTTTCTTTGATACCTTGATACTTAGCATATCACCTTAACATAGTTTTTACTAGTACTATGCAGTTCTTTTCTTTTATTAAGGCTATCTTATCTCCTTTCTTTTAGTTTTCTTCTAGTAATATGTATTTCTGTGAATATTAATTTTTTTGTGTTTGATCCAAATTTATTCATGGCAACATTAGAACATTACTTTCGATACTTCATAAAATCCTAGCAAAATAGAAGGTTGGGAGGAAAGGTGTTTGGAAGAAAGGAAGAAAGAGAGAGGGAAAACTTTGAAAACCCTATTGCTAGCACAAAATACTCAGAAAGATATTATATCCCTTGCTATTATGAACCCGTTGTCCCTTTATTTGGGAGGATTTGGGCTCCCTAGGAAATGTTAAGCTTTAATACCAAATGAAAATGAACTACATGATAAGATAATTATTAACTTGTAAGAAAAATGACAGAATATTAATGAGTACATGTGGACTGGTCCTCATGTGAGTTATTAGGAGTCACAAACTAGGACGTTGATGCAGACAAGCAGCTCCTGTTAAGTGAGAAGTGACCCCTCATGCTTGGGCGAATAACCTTCTAGCTAAAGGCGCGTGACCCAGTCTATTGTAGAGTAATATCAGGTAAAGTAATATTCCTTTCCACAAGTATTCTGGCCATAGAAGGCCTGGTTAGATTGAGGTGGATGGATCTAGCTTCATAGGATTCCCAAGTATGACCCCAATAGAGTAGAAAACCTGATGATTAAAAAAATGCAGCTTGAGACCAGATAAACTAAACCATATTGGTGCAGTGGGAGATTCATAATTTGGGTCAAAATCAGGAGACGACTTGAATAACTTCATTGACTTTCTTGCAATGTTAAGATATTTTTTAAAGAAAATCTTAGCATAGCCTTCAGTCACGGTTAACTGAATCAACACATGTCTCCCATCAAAGAAATTCACTTTTCATTTCCCTACTAGTTTGAGATCATCAAAACTAGTCATTATATGTCTATAGGTGGGTGCCCTCACTGAAATTTTCCAATAAGAGCGAACTTGTATTTCTCGGTCAAGGTTGAAATTCAAAATCAGAGAAAAAGAGTGTTGTTTCCTCATTTTTTCTACTTGCCTTCATAACAAAAGGGCAGTCACATCTACTATCACAACATTTCTTATAGCTTGAGGGGAAGACAACAACCGACTCCACCAGATGATTACCCACCACGTGGGCGAAGGAGGCTTTGCCAGGTTCATTCGAAGGAGGGAGCGCCATCAAAGCAGGGAGATACTCCACCTGTTACGACACTCCGATATAAGCACAGTAGGGGAAACGTCTTCGAAACAGACGACGCCATGAAAATGGAAGCAGGGAGACGCAAAGTTCTCGGCATCAAAACAAACGAAGCCGAGATGGAGAAACGACGAAAACGCAGTAAGCAGGGAGACGCGAGTTGACGAAGCTGAAGACGGAAGTGGAGAGACGACGAAACGCAGTAGGCGAAACAGAGGCGAGAGGTGTGAGCCCTCTTCCTTCGAGTGCGACTGAATCATAGAAGACGAAACTCACCATGCGAAACCCTAGCAGAGACGACAGAAATCGTCATTCGAAGTATTCTCTCTCGTATGAATGCAAAATATGTTCTAATGGAATAAATAATCCTTTGATATGTGGAACTACTCATACAGTCTCTTCTGGCAATGATTCTCAACTTTTGTTCTTAAAGATATTTTCCAAACCTTGTTTTTATTATAATTCTATAAAAGCCACTTTCGTAAGGAAATATTTTGGAAAAATAATGAAAAATTATTATCTAAATGGACACTACTTTTTGCTGACTGCTTTTCAAATTTAAAAAATTATCAAGTTGTTGCAAGAGAATCGTAAGCTGTAAGCGAACTATTGATAGAAAAATCGAAGTCCTCATACAAGACGTTGGTCAAATCCATGAACATCAAATAATAGTTCTTCTGGTCAAGTCTATGAAATCATATTATTTTCATAAGTCAAATTCAATTAGTCGCTACATATATATGATAAGAGGATAATTAATAGCGGGTCTCACTCCAATTGGACGACAAATTTATGGAAAAAATCTCAGGATTTCTGAGCTGAACCGATTCCTTTCTGCTGCAGTGCAGGAGACTTAGCGCACATCATAATGTGCGACAAATTTGCTCAAACCTGACAGTTATTGGACAACCTCTTGGTAATGCTTTGACTACTTCAACACAGAATTATCGAGAAATAAAAATCTCTTTTTGCCTCTTAATTGAAATTTAACTTGTTAGGACTTTTACATATCTTACATAATACCCATCATAGAATTTTGTTTAGCATCATTATTATAAAACATTTAGAATATACATATCAATATTTTAAGCTTGCAATACACCTATATGTGTGTGTGTGTGTGTGTGTGTGTGTGTTGTTCTCATTGTAAGATGTTTGGGCATACGCTTGATAAATGCCATAAGTTTCATCCTAATTTGAAATATAAAGATCAAGTCAATAAAGATGAATCTAATCCCACTACTCTGGACATATCTGTTCCATTTCCTACACATGTCCGACACATAAGTTCTACATAAGTTCCATTTCCTAAAGAGTGCTTTGATTCAATCAAAGATCAGCTGGTACAACAAGCGGTTACTTCTAATGTTCAACTTCCTACACATGTCCGACACACTTTAGACCAATCCACTGATCAGGCGAGCCAATCTTCGGATTAAGAATGACAGGTCTATTCTAGGAGGAAGAAGAAGACTGGAGGCCGACTCGAGCTTGAAAACTTATTGGATGATACTTTGGTCACTACTGGCAATGACACTCATCTTACCAATTTATTATCTGGCTCTTTTCCTAGAACTAGAGGTAGAGGCAAAGGAAAATTGGGTCGCACTCTAGCTACCTGATAATACATTTTTTTTGGCATTTTTATTTTTTTATTTTGGTCTCTTGTATTTTTCTGTATTTTCTCTTTTTTTCGAACCTTTTGTATGTGATGGTTATCGTTTGGGAAGGGTGTCATACTTGGGTCCTTCTACACAATCTATATGTATCCTTATTTCCTTTTAATATATTAGCCTTTGGGCTTCCTGTCGGCGCTAAAAGGGGGAAAGTTAAAAATTTATGGGTGATTTGTTCAAAAGCAAAATTTATTGATAAAAAGAGGATACAAATGTTTTAGTGAGTGGATACAAGAGCTTACTCACATGGATTACAAACATTTTCCCCAAAAATAAATAAAAAAGAAACAACTCCTAATCATGTGGATATACCGCTTCCTTTTTCACTGGATCTAGGGAGGGAGTCCAACAACATACCGAGAAGCGCCCGAAAAATGATACCGTCATCCTGAGAGTTACTGAGATGTAGCATTCATTTTTTCTTCTTCCTAGATTTGTAAACCTATCAATCATCTGCCATAGGTAGTCGCGTCAGAACAATAGGTGGATATTCGATGGAGGTTAGCTGCTGATCCGACTCAACCTGCAGCACACCTTGAACTTGACACTCCTCCATAACTTGAGTACTCTCTTCTCTTGTAATAGGTGGTTCCAAGACACTTCAGCTAGCATCTACTACAATAAAATTCATAGTATTTGTAATTTGAGTAAGAGCTACCGCAACAATAGTAGGCGGAAGCTGCTGGTCTAGATTTTGAGGAGTAATCTTATGAGTCAAATTCTCATTTAACATTTCTGGAAGATTAACAGTGTCTGCTATATTTTCCTCCACATGGATGATGTTGTGAGGACCTGCCGATCTCAAATATGAGTGAAGCCTGAAGCATTTGACAGGGGTAATCCCTAACAATTTACAATGATTGCATTAGTATGCTCTTTGTTCTGCTATAATTGGCTACCAATACCCATTGTGGGCAGTACCAATCCATATTTTGTCCATATCAGGGAGGGTGATATCTCTTTCAACAAGAATTCTTCCAACCGAAGACCCGGTTAGATTGAAGGTGGGTGTATCCAATTTCATAGATCTTCGTAGTGCAACTTCAATAGAATGGAGAACTTGGTGATTGAAGTAGTGCAACTTTAGGCCAGGTAGTTTAAACCGGATTGAAACTATAGGTGGTTCTTGACAGGGGTCAAATTCAGGAGACTAATTAAGCAGTCTCATATATTTTCCCACTATTATCATAAACTCTTTGGAGAATATTTTGACATAGTCTTTCACTTTAAATAATTGTATCATCACATGTCTCTCATCAAAGAGGCAAACCTTCCAAAGTTCCAATAGTTTGAGATCTTCAAAAGCCTTACGAACGATTTCCATTTTGGGATGTCCCTATGAGGGTGAATTTGAACTTGTGAACCAGGTTGGAAACTTCAACATCAGAGAAGAATAGAGTCAGTTTGCCACTCTTCCTACCCGTCTTCTTGATAAGGTTGTAGCCCTCCTGACCCTCGAATGATTCATGGTAAACTTGATCTGATCTCATAGAACCAACCATATCAACAAAAGATAGGTTTAAAACTGAAGTAGTCGGTTGTTGAGAAGGAGCAATAGCAATGGAAGGGAGTTGAACAGCGGCAAGCTACAGGGATAGAGTATGTGCAGAGAGGATGCAACAGGAACGGGGCCGTAGGAGATTGCAGGAAGCGCAACTGACAATGGAAGATGCGCGACGAAGAAACGACGCCGCACGATGCAGAAACCTTCGAGCATGAAAGTGCCGAATGAAAGACGAGCCGGGAGCCGTAGAAGCGCACCTCAAAAGGCGCAACTGATAATGGAAGAAGTGACTCCGCACGACGCAAAAATCTCTACTACTTCGAGCATGAAAGAGCCGAACGATGCATGATGAAGAAGTCGGCGCCGCACGACGAAGAAAAGGAGATACAACGAGAGAAAATCGACAAAGAGATATCAGGCTTTGCCATAATGGCGAAACCCTAGCAGAGCTAAATTGGTATAGACGACATTTTATGTATATATATATATATATATATATATATATAACTTAAAATGACCAACTGGTCACAATCTATAAGTGCTGCATTTATAACGAAATATATAAAAATAACATCTGATTATTTGACTATGCATAAGAGATCATGAGAATTATATTATATTAAAATACCTTAAGCTGGAAGGCATGCGCAGTACAGAATTGGCAACATGCTTAGTGCGATAAGATTTATTTTAAATTTATATAGTTCAATTTTGTAGGGTGTTACAAAGCAATAGATTTACTAAAACTCAGCTCTCTAAACTGGAGATTAAGTATCTTCCAACAGACTATATGTAAACTCTACATCAAGTTTCTTGCATCAGCATCAAGAAGCTTCTATCTTTTGTACAATCAAAGAAAGCATTATCTTACCCGCAGCATATAAAATTTTCTTACGAGCTCATTATCTAATACCCTTCATTGACCACTCCCAGTGAAATCCCTGTGCTGATCAGCCTCAATCCGAGGTAACTTAACTCAAAAATAAATAGGGATAATTGCGTACATAGCTCCTGAAACATTGATATTTACAAATCCACCAAGGTGATTTTGATAACTACTAAACCAATGCACTTATACATGCCACGATCAAACCATTGAAGATGATGATATTTGTGTGAGAATTTGAAAAATAAATGAGAAAGAGTGCCTGATTTGTAAATAGTACTGTTTCAACTTCTCTGTATGTAATTGCCCCAACTAATCAATTCACCGTTTTCACCTCCAAAGACAGTTTTCAGCTTGCATTTTATCTCCATTGTGGCTCCTGCTTTACTCTCTCTCTTGCTCAAAGGGTGAGTGAAATGGAGAATAAACGAACATTGAGAATAGAAGAGTGCATAGGTTTAGGGTCTGTTTGGGGCAGCTGCGACTTATCTAGCTTCTGCTGATAAACAACTTATTCTGATAATCTGCTGATGAGCAGCTGATCCGGATAAACTGACTGGTTGTTTGGTTTGCGCGTTTGTAAAACAGCTGATTCTGGATAAATGACCATTCTACCCCTGTTATGGATAAACTGTTTAGTTGTTTGGTTTGTGCGTTTTGTAAACAACTTATTTACAGATTTTCTTAGTTGAATTAATAATCTGTCATGCAGAATTTGTTATTTTCTCGAATGTAAAGATATGAAAATATAAAAGAGTTGAATTACATTTATATAACTCAAAAAGTTCCAATTACATCAAATAAGCACAGTGATATATACGAAAGTTAGTATACATTCACACACTAATATGGAGTATAATGATACAAAAAAAAAGATGTTAAATCGACGAGGAAAAAAATAACAATATTGACTTTCAAATGTAAAAACATATCACGACGAATGTTACCCGATTTTAATATCTCAAAATCTTGAGCAAACCTGTCCGACTGGGATATTATAGAAACTGAAGCACTCGAATCACATGCGGTGTTCTCCCGTCAAATTAACAGATAAGCACAAAATATTTTTTTTCATGACAACAAATGTCCCATCAAATCCACATTAAAAAATATTTCTTTTCATAACACAAAATATTCTTTTTAATAGCACAAAATATTTCTTTTCATAGCAATAATATTGATGAAGCATTAAAAAAAATATGCTCTCCATTCATAGGGAAAAAAATTCCTCTCATCAAATTCGCATTAACCATACCAATTCTTTGGAATGCATAAATAAACCAAGAGTCATTTAACTCTTCAAAAGCCTTCTTAATGATGGATATATGTTTATTTAGAAATATCATAATTTCAGTTATGGGCATATGAATCCTTTATAAGGTGAAACACAACTTGATCAAAAAAAAACTTTTATATGGTGAAACACACCTTTTGAAGCATAGATAACGGGCATATGAATCCCATGGTATGTATAAAAGCATAGGTAACGGGCATTTGAAGTTCAGGTATTAGATATTTAATAAATCCATATGAATCGCGTGGTATGTATGTAAAGCTTTCAATAGATAAATAGCTAACGGAAAAACCAGAATAATATCCTCATTTATACAGTGATCTTTGAAAGTTATTGCCTAAAAAATTCTTGAAATATTCTCAACCCATATCTAATGGCCACAACTTGAACCGCAGAAAGAGCAATATAACACCCAATTATCGCAAGCAATGAGTAGGATCTAGTAGTTTCACATCTAAGGAGTTCAAATCCATCATTTTTCGCAACCACAAAAAAAAAGCACAATCAATTACATTTCTTATCTTCCGCTTTGCAGATCCACATGAAAAAAACCAAAAAAAATATAACTAACCGCATTTCCCGAATGGTTGCAAATGACGAAGAAGGAAGATGAGACATGCGAATGAATAGTTATATCTGTTGAGAGAAATGACGAAGAAGAAATGCTGAATGTGAGTGAAGATGCCGAAGAAGAAGAGGGAAAACGCACCGGATCATAGACCTAGGATCGCTTAGGGCATGCGATGCGAAGGAGAAATGTCAGAGGGCGAATGCGTTAAAGGCAGGGTCACGGGCGTAATATTTTGATCGAAAACACGGACCGCGGGGGCCGTCCCGCGGTCCGCATCTTTTACAAAATTCAAAACACCAGTTTCGATAATCCCATAATAAGTGTGAACCTAACATTACGGCGATATTTTCAAAACGCTGCCCGCACTTATAAGCTGTCCCAAACGGGCCCTTAGTGTATAGTAACAATGTTTTAGGGTTATTAAGCTATTAATATATTTCATATATAAAAATTTTATGTTCATTTTCACCTTACAATTGTATGTTACTTATTTGTCTGAGTGTTACAGTTTAGACAAAGCTGGTCGTGCTGTTCACCAAGTTTCTGTCAGAAAACTTCTTAATACTTTTACAAATTTTCATGTAATTTATGCTCGAGTATCTTCAGTTTTTTGTTTTTGTTTTTTTTTTTTTGAATATTAGTGTCTTCCTTAGTCAAACAATTTTGACGGGAATGAATGAGAAAGTGTCTATTGCTGCATTGAGACTACCAAGTTGCATCCGTACTCCCTTACTCAGGAATATAGATGATTGTGCTGGGAATTATTTTTTGCTCATACTTGCATTCTAGTGGCTGAATGGACTTTTTATTGCTTTTTTATAAATTGTTCTGTGGATGCCAAAAAAGTTGAAATCTAACGCTTAAGTTATTTTTTAACGCTGTTAAATATTTATGTATAGTTCAAATAATGGTTATGCTATTTAACCATACCTTCATTTATACACATTAAATGGAGTTTTTTTATTGAAATAAGTTTCGCTGCTTTTTCGTACATGATGATTCATTTTTATTTATCAGGACATGAAGTTTTCCTATAGACATGGCTGTAGAAATGATTCAGTTTCGTTTATTTTATATGTACATTTTTTTTTTCTCCACATTCTTATTCAATTTTTCTCCTTGTTTCAGTTCAACTTTCAATCTTACAGCATTGACGATGATGACTATGAGGGATATGATTATAGCTTGAGTGGCCGACTTTCTGCAGTACGGATAATATTTCTTTATAGGTTTGTTTTGGAGGTATGTTTCATGTCAATGCGAAAAATGAACATTCATTTTATGTTTTGTCGGACAATAAAATACATCAGTTAAAGTGTAAAGGAATGAAAATTGTTGGATATGGTAATGTGATGGAATTATGTGAATAATATTACACGGACAAAGAACAAATATGATTAGATTTTGTCTAGGCTGAAGTATCTTCATTCAAGATAGTATAATATAAGAAAGTAGATTTATGTCATTTCTCTGTATTTCATAGATAAAATCAGCCTCTAGAAGTTTTGTGACAAATTTTGATACATAAAGTGACCTTGTACGTCCATGCTCAACGTACTTATGATACATAAATTTTGATACATAAAGTGACCTTATTTTCTGCTTGATTATCTTATATGCACAACGTGCATGCTCAAAAACTCACACATCAGCATTTTGTAATACTTATGATAGAATCTAAGTTTTGACACTGGAAAATGTTAAGTTTTATGTCTTCATTTCTTAGTTATGAATGAAAGATTCTCCTCTTTGAGTAAACTATAAAGAACAACACATTCTCTTCTTGAAGAAGCTGAAGACGACCCGCTAAAAATACCTAAACAGCTCTCTCTCCTCTCTCTTGGTTGTGAATCCCTCTCCTTGTGGGATGCTATGCGCTCCCCTTAAGGCTCTATTTATAGTGGTAACAACAAATGAGTTAGAGAGCAGAATTTACTTTATGATTTTACAAGAAATTTTTAAGGTCAGCAAAATGTTTCCATATCCCACAATAAGGATTTAACCACCTTTTTAAAAATGTTAATCCTGTATATGCTATAAATTGAGATCTCATATACATCTTATAGAGATTTGATGTAGAAGTCACATGATTAACAGTCTCCCACTTGAAGATATAGTTTCTTATTTTCCTATGTAGCGATCAGTGTCTAAACAACACTTTGTACGACACCTCCATTCCAACATTTGTGAATGCAAATTGGCTCTACGCAAAATCCTACCTTTTTAAAAAGTAGCACTTTTATGAGCTAATCTGCAATATTTTCACCCATCTTGATTTTGTTGAGTTGTAGAACACCTTAAAAAAACCTCTTATCTTGTACCTGATCCACATTTTGGTTCAAACCTGAAGTTTAAACTCTAGGTTCGAAATTGATTTGATCCACTTGACAATGCACCACAGCCACTGCCGAAGTTTAAGTTTGAACTAGGTTTCAACACTAGGTTTTGAGTTAAAACCTAGTTTGAATGTCACGTATTTTACTGCTATTTAATCTTGTTAAATAAAACTAATGGATGGTCGTTGGTTTTGCATGAAGTGAACACTATCCAAATGTTGATAGGTTTTAGTCACGTGTTCCATCTTGTGTTTGAAATTTCATTCGAACTTTGCTTTTCATTAGTGTGACGGTGTAAGGAGCGGTAGACATGACAAGGCTGATGCTGTAGTTTACAAATAAAAAATAATAAAAAATACCTTATCCATTGAACAATGTGACATGAGCAATAGCAGGGGTGAGGTCCAGGGTACCTTTTTTAGGAATTTGAGTGAGGGATGGGTAGAGTATATGTGAAGGTAAAAGTTGTGTTTGTTGGATAGATTAAGGAGAGATTCAAATTAGCTTTTTGGAGGAGATATTTTTAAATTTTATGATATTAAACATTTGACACTAATACAAAGAAATACCCCACACATTTATACTATGTATTTTTCTTCTAAAAATGATTTTTGGTTATTTGGCCAAATTATTTTTCTTTGAGATATTCTTATAAAATTTATATCAAGAGGGATAAAATAATATCGTTCTTGGGTTTCTAGAAGGTGATTTAGGATCAGATTTAGCGGGTAGGTGGTTGTAGGATGGCGAGAGTGAGAATGTAACTTGGAACAAATAATATAAAGATATGGCGACAAAAAGTGCCCTTGCCACACACACACACACACGCACACACACAAAAGAAGTAAAGAATACCCTCATACTTGTTCAACAACAACAATAAGTCTTTATTCCGCTAAGTGGGGTTGTGTCATGACGTGGCACAAGGTTTGGATATAACCAAGACGGGAACAAACAGTTGGATGGTGTCAATTAAATTTTTTATATTCATATACAATTGAACATATAAAAGGACCACTAATTAAATTAAATTAAAACAACAAAATTATATTTACTTTGTTATTGGATGTTCGCGTCTTCCATAACTGTTATCTCTTATGATACTCATCATTAATCACTTAATATTCCTGAAAAGTTACTTTAAAATAATTGTGAGCTAAACGAGTTAATGAATAATTATAAAAGGACCACTAATTAAATTAAATTAAAACAACAAAATTATGTTTTCTTTGTTATTGGATGTCCGCGTCTTCCATAACTGTTATCTCTTATGATACTCATCATTAATCACTTAATATACCTGAAAAGTTACTTTAAAATAAATGTGAGCTAAACGAGTCAATGAATAATCATACTCATAATTTACAGTTATAGAAGAGAAAAATGAAGCAATATGTATTTTTAATACATCAACAACAACAACCACCATAAACCTTTATCCCATATAGTGGGTTGGGCTATGTGAATCCTTTTTCTCTATTGCATCTTATCGAGTGTCATATTTTCATTTAATTCTGATAAATAAGATCATTTTTTATACAATAGGACCAAGTTTTTCTAGGTCTACCTCTGTGTTTCTTAACACAAGTCGAATCTAAAACAGCTACTCTCTTAATCGAATAATCGGATGGTCGGCATCTAGTGTGACGAAACCATCTAAGACCTCTCTTAAGTTTTTAATAAATCAAAAAAAAATTTTTTTTGCTATTCAAAGAACCTTACTAAATTAATAATTTATCAATATCATTTTATATTTGTACAACTTTCACAGGAGCACTGTCTAAAAAATGGTTCAATTAAGACTCATCAATATCAATATTCTTTTTCATATACGTGCACAGTGCTTTGTCTTCCCCCATTGGTATCATCATTGGGTGACTCTATTATAGTCAGTCATTCACATACAAATAGTCAATATAATCTTATCATTCATTTGCTCGACGCATACAATTTAATATATTATGTATAAATACACAAATGAATGCGACATTATGTAGTACAAGTATTCCTAATAATGTGACCAATAAAATATAGAATATATAAATCAAAATAAAGTTTATACAAGTATATATTTATATAAAATACTAGAGAAGAACCAAGATATTACCATAGATTAAAAGTATGGGTTGTCGCCTCGATGCTGATTAATTTGCTATTTTACTTGTCTTGATGTTGACTTTGCTAAAATGGAGAGCCTAAAATACACTATGGTATTCATAGTAAAATTTAAATTTATTGATTATGTTATTATAAATTTAATACAACAACAATAACAACAAAGCCTTATTCCCACTACGTGGGGTTGGCTACATGAATCCCTTTTCTCCATTGTGTCCTATTTATTATCATATTTTTGTTTAGTTCTAATAAATTAAAATCATTTTTTATATATTAAGCCTATATCTTCCTAAGTCCACCTCTGTCTTTCTTAACATAAGTCGAATCTAAAACATCTACTCTACTGATTAGATCATCAGATGATCGACGTTTAATGTTACCAAACCATCTAAGACGACTCTCTAATTTTGTCCGTCACAGAAGCTACACCAACCCTATCATGAAGATATTTATTTCGCATTTTGTCTCTAAGTGTAAAGCCACTCATCCACCTAGTGATTCTCATCTCGACAACACTTAACTTAGTATTATGCTTCTCTTTTAAATGTCAACATTCATCGCCATAGAGCATTGCAGGTCTCATCACCATCTTATAACTTTCAGTCTAAGTGGTACTTTTGTACTTCTCTATCAAATAAAAGGCCCGAAGCATTCCTCCATTTCAACTAACCAACTTGAATTCTACTATTAACATCCCATCTATATCACGATCGCTTTGTACAACAGACCCGAGATATTTAAATTGATCTCATCTTTTAATAATTTGATCACTCAAAGTTACACTTCTGTCACTAAAGCTACTACTACTAAAACTACATTCCATGTTTTCAGTTTTAGTTCTACTCAAATGAAGGCCTTTAGAATCCAATGTAGACCTCCATAATTCAAGTTTTTCCTGGGCCTTTTTCTCTCGTCTTATCCACTAGAAGGACATCATCAATAATGAGCATACACCAAGGCACATCTTGTAAATGTCCAATAAGACAATCCATAACTAAAGCAAAAAGATATGGGTTTAAAGTCGATCCTTGATGTAATCCAACAGAAATAGCCAACAGAAATACCAACAGAAATAGGAAAATAATTGGTCAATCCTCTTTCAGTTCGAACATAAGTAACAGCTGTAGTATTGCAAGCTTTTTCTAAATCAATAAAAATCAAATGTAGATCCACATTATCTCTGAACTTCTTCGTCAAACCCCTCAATAAATGTATAGCTTCCATAGTAGATCTGTTCGACAAAAATCCAAATTGATTATAAGAAATTTTTTTAATACGTCTTAACCTATGTTCAATTACACTCCCATAATTTTAAAGTATGACACATCAACTTAATTCCTCTATAATTTGTACAATCTTGTGCATCTTTTTATTCTTAAAAATGGGGACGAAAATACTCTGCCTCCACTCCTCATACATCCTTTTAGTTTTTAAAATAATATTAAAGGATTTAGTAAGCCAAGAAACTCTCAAATCTCCTAAAAATTTCCACACTTTAATTGGGATATCATCAGGTTCTACATACTTTTCACCCTTGGTTTTCTTTAAATTCTCATCAATTTCTTTTTTACTAATGTGACAGTAAAAATGAAGTGTTTTATTATTATTAACGATATTAAAATCATTAAAGTTGATCTTATTTTCAAAAACATCATTAAAAAGTTTATCAAAATAACTCACCCACCTATGTTGAATATTTTTTTCTAAGAGAAATACTTTTTGATTTTCAACTTTAATACACTTGAAGTAAATATTTACTTTTACTTTGATTAGTTTATACATATATTTTTCACTCTTCTTAGTATCTAATCTAAAAATCAAATTTTTATTGTCACAGATTATTCTTTTAGACTTTCTGTGGGTCGTTTGATATTTTTCTCAGTTCTCTAAGATTTTAAAATTAAACCAATTTTGATAACATATCTTCTTTTATTTTATATTTTCTTGCACATTATTATTCCACCTCTAACTATTTTTTTTATAGAAACTTTTTTTTTGTTTCTCCAAGTACATCTTTTACTACTTGTTTAATATTGTTTATAACTTTATCCCACATAGCATTCGCTTCTTCATGAACATTAATAGTGTTTATAACTTTATCCCACATAGCATTCGCTTCTTCATGAACATTCCAAAATTTGTAATCTTGAATTTTACTCATAAAAATAATTTTATTTGCGTCTGTGTTTTGGGCTTCCCTATCTAATTTCACGATGATGAGTCTTAGTATTTTTATTTTATAACTTTTCATCTTAAAATCTAGAACTAATATTCAATGTTGGGTACTTAAATTCTCATTTGGAATGACCTTACAATATTTACAAACTTGACGAGTAATAACAAAATCATAAGCTAAAGCAAAATCTAAAATGATTCAACCTTCTTCATTAGTCACTCTAAAACCGTAGCTACCATGAATATTTCTAAAATCTTCTACCATTTTACCGACATGTCCATTTAAATTTTCTCCAATAAAAATTATTTCTTCAAGACATATCAATTGTATTAAATCTTCCAAGTCATTCCAAACTTTATCTATAGCTCCTATATCTAAACCTACTTAAGGAGCATAAACACTTGTAATATTTGAAATCTTAATATCAATAATAATCTTAATGACTATGATTCTATCTCTATCTGTTTTAACTTTTATAACATTATCTTTCAAACTCTTATATATAATTACACCGACACCATTTGTAGTGCGACTCTTTCCAGAATATCAAAGTTTAAAATCTAAGTTATCAATCTTCTTAGCCTTTTCTTCAACCCATTTCGTTTCTCAACCCATTTTCGTTTCTTGAATACATAAGATATTAATCTTTCTATGCATCATAATATCAACTAATTCTATTAATTTATCGTTGAGAGTGTCTTTATTCCAAGATTCTATCATAATATTAGTCTTTTATCCACATCCGTCCGTAATGTGGGAACTCTTGCTTAATATAAAGTTAATAAGTTCAATTATTTTAATTAGCTAAAAAATATTCATTATTTTACTTTTTATATTCTCGCTTAAATTTTCTATTATATAGTGTATATATATATATATAATTTTACTAGTATTATTATTTTTATTATTACTTTTAACTTTATTAAAGCTTATGTCATCGATCCCTAATCCACGTGACCCCATGCAAGCTTCTTCCCTTTGCGTGAGAGTTAAATTGCACGCATGAGAGCTCCTCTGCAACATCATCTTCTACTCCATCTATCGCAACTTAACATTCATGTCAGTGTCGCCTCTTCCCCTTCCTCCTTTGAATGTGCAAGAACTCCAACACTCGCCTCCTCCTCTACACGATTGTGGCGTCACCATCTCCTCTGACTTTTTTTCTCTGACGACGCCGCGACTCAATCCTAACAGTGCAACCCTCAACGCCACCATTCGACTCTCCTGATAAGTTCTTACCTCTCTCATGAGAAATTTATAGGCGAAATTTTTTGTTTGGTTTCTCAACCTTATCGTTTCATCTCTCCCCTCTCTAGCTTCCCGAGCTTCTTGATTCCTTTTTATTCGGCTCTTCGTTTGCTTGACTCTTCGCTTCGTCTTCTCGCCTCTTCAACGGTTTGATTCTTCTCCCCCAGGACGTGCAGGTCGGCTACAAATACTTTTTCTCCATTGTGTCCTATTGAGTGTCAACAAAAACATAAATATCTATGACATAAATGATTGGAAAATTCTCAACAGAAGCAAGGCTGTAAAGAAGAACTGCTGCCCGTATACACTTTTTTTTTTCCTTGGATTGTTATTTCTCTGAACTAGATATTAATGCATCTTCTTCGCTTTAGTATTTTTTCTAAACTTGTATCCGATTACTTTTTGAACGGTAAATATTTCTTCATCATATTTTATTAAACTTGCAGAACAAATTCAGATGTTTCATTTTTCATTGGTTTGATAATTCCTAAATTGAAATCATAGATCTCTTCTTACTTTATGGGGCTAGCCACCCCTCACACTGAAGAAGTAATCAAGTTGGTGGACAAAGTCGGAGGCATCGAGTGGCTGATTCAGAAAGATGAAATGGATGGCGCTGCTGCAATAAAATTTGATCTTTCGTTGGACACTCCTCTTATTATTGTTCCAAAGAGCTCTTTGAGTGAGGAGTACGTGTTTGTCTTCTATGCTATTTGTCTTTTCTTGTCTTTTCTTTTCAATGTATGGCAGATGCAATTATCTTTCTGATCAAGATAGCCATTTATTTTAACAGATTAGTTTGGCAATATGTTTCGTGTTTGTGATGTGCTTTGTTGATTAAAGCAGAGTACACATTACCATGCTACACTTTGTGTTATGATCAGTTTAATCATATCATATAATATTGATTGAAGTTTTCTCATCTGAATTAAGGTGATAGTTGGACGAGTTCGAGCTAGATAACTGCCAATAAAGTTTATTTTCTAATACAGCACTTTGGTAGCTAATTTTCGTATGGTTGAAGTCAAGTAAATGGTTGGAGAAGATTCACGTCCATTATGCTGTACATCTAAGTCTTCTCCTTTATGGTGGGGTAATATGTTATCGCTTGAATGGAAAATGAAATAATCATATGCTGCAATTGAAAATTTTGTGACAATTCCTTGCATTAAAAAAAAAGTCTTTTGGGAAACTCTGACTTGGATCGTTGATCTATTTCTTTATGTTTCTCATCCTATGTTTTGCAGCAGTGAGTCCAAGACCAAAATTTCTTGCATCCTCCGTTTTTAAGATGTTTTCTGTAAAGATTAAACATTTTTTTATCTATAATAGGAAGTGTAATCATCATTGGCACGTGCTAACAATTATGTAGTATTTTTACATCACTTTCTTTGTGATTTTGAAGATGACGTTTAATAAGTTTTTCTTACAAGCAAAGATCTATTTGTTTGACATGTTCGTGTGTTTTTGTTGTAGTTTTATGCAGCTTGATCTTGGGCAACTTGAAGTGAAAAACAATTTCTTTTGGTTTGGAAATGAAGACAATGATCCGTCTGCTGTACATCTAGATATTCTTGATGTTGAGGTGTGATAACATGTAATGAATCATCTATGTTTTGTTAATGCTTTTCTTATTACCTTATTATCATTGTATTGCAATCCCCTTTGTATTATGTAGATACAAGGAATCAACATGGCTGTAGGTTTGCATGGTCAGTTGGGGAAGCCTATGATACGGGAAGGACATGGCCTTCATATTCAAGTGCGCCGCAGCTTAAGAGATGTTTTCCGTAAAGTTCCAACTCTCTCCATTGAAGTTCAGGTATTACAATTTGTTGAATTTAGTTTGTTTGATTCTTTATAGACAGACGTAGTTGTGGATTTTTCTAAATGATTCTCGGATGCTAATTATATTTTGCAAATGCTTGCAACTTTCTAAAAATATGGACTTTTGATGCTTTCATTTTGATTTATTTTGCATTTGTGAAGTTTTTAGTAGCGATGCTTGATAGATTTGAAGATCTATATTTGTTGATCTTTTTCAGTCATTCTCATCAAAAACTAAGAAGAGTCCATTTCATTTTTTTTGTTATATTAACAATGGATTTTGAACATTTAGAATGTTAGCTCCTATGAAATGCGTTGAAATATTTGTGCTTGTGTAGTGTTGAAGTTTAAGTAAACATGATAATAGAGAAAACGTCAATTATTTAAGGTTAATGATTTATCATGACGTTAACTTTGATTTTCACCGTAGATATCATCAGCCATTACTTCTTGTTGATGTAAAAAACTTATTAAAATTATTGATGTTATTAATTAGGCTTAATTATACTTAATTAATATTAAGTTACATATGTACTTGCTCCTGCTTGATGCCTATAACCATGCATGCTTATCTAGCTTGAAGTAAAAAGCTGCACGATGGCTACTGTAATTCCCTGCTTCCTTGTTTGAGCACATCCCAGACACAAATCAAGGCCCTCGTCAGTTTGTCTCGCACGACCATTCCCTCATGTTCACATATCCGTCTCTCCCATCCAAACATGCACAGGAAAGCGTCACTTGACCTAAAGCTGCAAACGTCCCGTTTCTTCATCTCTGTCGTAGGGATTGCACAAAAACACCACCGTTCCTCCCTGTATTCGTGTGACCTAGGAGTCGGAATCTCATTGAAAATGAGATTGCAGTGTACAAGGCCTCCGAAACTCCCATCTTGCCTCTATTTGCAATTCACATACAAAGCAAAAGTCCTTCCTCTCCACAACCGTAAGCATTTCACTTACCTCCGTTCATCTGCAACGATTTGTTTCACACAATAGAGTCGAAACCTCCTTCCAATTGTTCTCAAGCTTGGCGTCTCTGGTCTAAGTTTTTCTGTTCTTTTGGCTGCACAACTCCAACCTCACGTGATTTTCCAAGCCCACCTTCTTGTGATCACTGCAGAATCAAATCTAGTGTACAAAAAACCTCTGAAATTCCCACTCCCAACACCTTCACTTCTTTGCTTCTAATCACAGAGATTGAAACCAAAGCTCTGATATCCTCCACCCCTCCCTGCATCGAAGCTGCACGATTCTTCAACCCTAGCCACAGGAAACATTTACTTAAGCAAAGCAGATCTGCACCTCCACTCACTTAAGCCCTTTGTCTCACCTGCATTGTACAACCCAAACAAAACCCACCCACCCAGTACTTCCTTCCCTACTTTACTACTTATTTTTGTATTTTTTATTATATTAAAAAAAATCAAAAAATCTATTTTGTTTTTCCCTTCACCAATCTCCATTGTCAACATCATCGCCTTGTCGCATGCAAAGGTATGAAGAAGGTGTTTGTTGGGATATGTAAAATACTCGTTCGGGGAAAGCTGTTTATCTATCCATTCAGAGAGATTGTATGCTTGTTTGGTAAAAAAACAAAATAATAATAAATCATAGGAATTTAATTACTCGTATGGGGAAATTCGAGCAACTAGCAGAGAATTAAGTACTATTTTGGGAAATATGAGTATGCTCATGTTTCTCTGAATGGGATATTTAAAATACCCATTTGAGGAAATATGAGTATCTATTCATTTCGAGAAATTGTATACTCGTTTGTTAATGAAATTAAAAATCAGGAGAATTTAATTACTCGTCTTGGAAAATTCGAGTATTTGTCCAAAGAATTAAGTACTGTTTTGGGAAAATAAAGTACCTATTCGAGAAAAAATGTGATTGTTTTACTTTTTGCAGGTAATTTGAATGCCTGCAATGTCGTAGAAATTGTGAGTTAAAATACTTGCTTTGCTCTATTTATGCAGTGTCTCATGATACTGAGCAACGCATCTTATAGACAGCTAACATGGCTAGCATTCTCCCCGTGCCATCTTACGAGGGGTAGACGCTAGGAGGTTGCCAAAATTTTAAGTGAATTGGACTATTTAAACTTTGTTGAAATAACTCAAAATTGTGAATTATTTGTTATTAAAAAAATATTCATAATTTGTGCTTTTTAAATTTAGGCTTCTAAGGTTTGAAGATCAAATTTAAAGTTGAGCTCTTCAAACTTAGGCTCCTTAGGTTTAAAATTAATTCAAGTTGGGCTTTTTCATGTTTAGGTTTTTAAGATCGAATCACTTGTATTTGTTAAAATTTATTCAATTATGTAATTTGGTAATTTGCAAAATGAATTAAATACGAAATTGGGGTTGTTACATAAATGCCAAAATAAATGCTTAACATTTCAATTTTGCCACCTATATTCATAATATTCTGTCTAGCAAACATAAGGCTACTTTTTTAAAGCCCAATATATATGTTTGAATGGATCCAATAATTCCATTTCCAAGTAAGGTTCCGATTCTTTCAATTTTACAAAATTCAATGCTAAGTTTCAATCCAAATGACATGCCCCAAAGATTTATGCATGTAGATGTTTATTCAATAATTCAAATGATTTTAAGTCATGCATATGCATCTAAATAATAGAGTTTTGGTTTATTTAGCAAAATTTAGATAATTTTAAGCCTTGTGCTGGTATTTCAAAATATTTCATTACTGCAATATACTGTTTCAAAGTGAGTGTATAGTGCATGAAGATGCATGCACATTAGCAAAGTAAACTCACATGTGTTCCTTCGAATTAAACAAATATTTAAATTTAAACGGTATGGGAATGTTGTGCAGGTTAATGTTAAATATTCACTCACTTTTATAAACATGTAAAGTTCTTTAAAAAAATTAAATGATTATTTAAAATTTAAAAACCCTCGTAATTTTAAAAATTAAGTTCATGATAATCAAACTCCGCCTTGTCTATAAAACATGATTGTAAGTCTCAATGATGGACACATACATACTTTTGGTGGTACTTCATTTCAAATACCAAACTAAAGAGGGGAGAGGAGCGAGGAGTTGGGCAACCAAAGAGGAGAGAGATGAAGCGGGAGGGTCGAGAATTCAAGGATGTGAAGTTTGCCCTATCTATTGTCGAAATTGACTTACCTGAAGCCGAGTGGTTTTGTTGAAGGAAAGGAGCTCCGTACAGTGTAGATTAGGTGAGGAGGACGACGCTGATAATCTAAGCCTAAGGAGGTGATATCCTCGAGTATTTCGACTTCGTTGTGCAGGAAGAAGGTGGAGCGAGATGAAAAAGAAAAAGAGAAGCATCGAGAGAATTTTCCTGCCGCGTGAAGCATACGCTTGGCTGTGCCCTTGCCAACCATCATAGAAGCGAAGAGGGAGAACCCTCGTGCGATTTTCGACGAAAAGAGATAGATGGAGTTTTAATTGAATATATATAT